GTATAATACTACCCCCAACTTTATGGATGATTTTATGGATTAAATTTTACGTATTATACTTGAATAAATACGGTATATTTTGCCTCTTTTTTTAATTCTCCTTTAAAAGAAGATAAAATAATTTAAGTATTGCATTTTTGGACACATTTTTGTATGTGTCAAATCTGATATTTACAGAAAAGCTGAAGCTGTTGTAGACTATCTCAAATCAAAGCACAGCAAAAGCATGTGAGAAAAATCTGCAGCTGCTTCGTTGACATACCAGAAAGCCATATCATTTTGAGAAGTTTCGTTATCTCAAAATTTTATCAAGCTTAAACTATCACGGTGATCTCTAAATTTAAGAACTCTATCACCTTTCTGGGAAGCTTTAATAATGGGGAGATGGGAGGTTAATTGGGCTTTGTCATTGTGTGCAAAATGGCCACGTCTGTGGCAAGCTCCAGCCAAAAAAGAACAAAAGCCCCGGCAAATTGTAGAGGAGCTGTTTCCATGGCTACACCACCGGTACTGTTGGTTAGTGGGGTGGTCTTCAGGGCGTGAGCGAGGGAGGGGAGCGTTAGGGGGAAGGAGACAGACTTGTGTGTTAATTACAGCACTGATAAAAACAGTACAGTATCATAGTGAGTGAAAAACCCACACAGCAGACACTTTTCATGCATAAAACACTCAGAATATAAACACACAACCAAGTACATGTTAGGTAAAGAGATTAATATCAAAACAAATAGAAATGAATAGAAAAAATGATGAAAAGAAGGTGAAGTTGTAGTTTTAACAGTAAAATAGCATCAAGCTCAAACTTTAAATGCGATCATGAGGGGAAAACAATAAAAAGTCAACAATGTGAATGTGTCTTTCTATGCATAATAGCATAATGCTTGTGCATAATAACTCAGGTTAATATATAACAGTCTAACTTTCTCATTGTTTGTCATTTGCAAAGTATCTTTGTATAGCCTAACAAAAGTAAATAGGAGGAAAAAAAATTCCCTTTAGCTGAAAACAGAGAAATGACACCTTAAAATGATGAATGTGGGAAAAATAAAGTATGAAATAAAAATATTGATTTTCTCTTATCTCTCTGCCCTCAGCTGAGATCTTTTGTCATTGACTTAAAAAGACAAAATTACTGGATTCCTGTTCAAATTGTATTTATAGCAAAGGTAAAACCTTATTTATAGCTTTCACTCAAGAGTTTTTTGCTTAAAATGCATGCTGAAATGTAATAATTCATCAGCGACCATGCAGTTTTACATTTGTGTACAAATATGAAATTTATTACTTAGCAAAAACCAAAATAAAGAAAAGCATACCTGCAGTTATAGCATGAGCTCCAGTTAGTTCCCCGTTAAATCCGTTCTCCCTTGCTGTGTAAGGAGCCGTGGCCATGTGGGCTCCGCTGGGCTGACAGGTCCTGTAAGCTGAGGAGGAGTAGCCATTAGCTCCACGGGTGCCACCCGGCTCCTGTCCTCCTGATGGGTCCCATTGGGGGGCGTCGTCCTCTGGCTGTCGACTGTCTGCCATGCTGGTGCTAGCTAGCAGCCGGCAAGATTGGGCGAAAGAGATGGGGTCTTGACTTCTGGGTAAAAGACAAGAGGACATAAAAGGTGAGAAGCGGAGGTGTAGTCAACGCTTAACATGTTTGTTATTAATGTTACATGAAGCAGAAAAAAAGAAGTGCACGGGCTTTAGGACACACTGCTTCAGTCACTTTAGAAAAAAAGCTCTTTCTGTCAGTCATAATCCCTGCAGCAGCTCTACTGTGCTTCACTGGCAACCATTCTAAAAGTACAGCTGTGCCTGTGTGAGTCTGTGTGTAGGTGGTGAATCACTGTCCTTGGCTGTCGGCAGGCAGATGACAACCACTGTACAAAACCCTATTGATTTGTGTGTGTGTGTGCTAGGTAATGACTCATATAGCCAGTGGGTTAGGTGGAAATCACAAAAGAACAGAGCAGATCTTGGACTTTTTTTATTTATTTATTTATTTTTTGGCATTCAAGCAGGAATGAGAGGATTAAAGGTGGGCTCTGATTAATCATTAAAACCAGCAACGGATAAACTGAATAATGTAACTAATGAAGCAGCAGTAACTAAGAACACAAAGGTAAGAAGTTGCTTGACGTATACTTTAAGCAGGAATGGGCAACTGGTGGCTCGCGACTGACTTATGTCTGGACCACCATTTTTTTTACGTTATGAATGCACTCAAACAACAGATCAAGCCTCTTTGGATCTARCTACACAGGTGAACAGACATTCTTAATGATAATATTCAACAAAACCAGATACAGATCCTCTGTCACTGATCACCTTTCTGCTATTCTTCGCATCACCAAGTTATGATTGTTTTTGTTTTTACTGTTTAAATAAGAATATTTTCCTTTATCACCCACATCACAATTTTGCAACATATCCTTGTCCTATAGCAGTAGCAGCTAATCAAAATATACAATGGGTGAAAAAATTACTATTAAGCAGAATTATGTGCAATGCACTGTTGGTTTTGGCCCTCCAACATAGCTCAAGGCTCTCACGTGGCCCCTAGAAAAAATAATTGCCCACCCCTGCTATAAAGGTACCACAATGTAAAGACCACACAGTCTGTACACTATATATTTWAGTGGAAACAATGTGGTGCAAAAAGTAAGGCTCCTACATGCAGTACATCCCATGCCAAAAGCAGACTATTGATCAAAAGAGCTCAAAGACGAGCAAACATAGTATTGAACACGTCACCCTTTTTCTCAGTAAATATATTACTAGAGGTGCTAATGACATGAYATTTTCACCAGATGTRGGTAACAACCCAAGTGATCCATACATACAAAGAAATCAAACCATAAATGTCCAGAAATGAAGTTATTTGTAATAATGTGGAATGGCACAGGGAAAAAGTATTGAACACATGAAGAYAGGGAGGTGTAAAAAGGCATGGAAAGACAAGACACCAGCTGAACTCTCTCAGTAATTAGAAAGCAAACCTGCCCCTTGTCAGTGCAAGTTAATATCAGCTGGTTCAGTCCCAAATGATGGCCAGGTATCACACAAGAACCATCTGATGATGGGTAAAAGTAAAGAGCTCTCTCAAGACCTTCACAACCTTATTGTTGCAAAGCATAATGATGGCATCGGTTACAGAAGAATGTCTAAACTTCTGAAGGTTCCAGTGAGCACTGTTGGGGCCATAATTCAGAAGTGGAAAGAACATCATTTCACCATAAACCGACCACAACCAGGTGCTCCTCACAAGATTTCTGACAGAGGAGTGAAAAGAATTATCAGAAGAGTTGTCCAAGAGCCAAGGACCACTTGTGGAGAGCTTCAGAAAGACCTGGAATTAGCAGGTACGTTTGTTTCAAAGAAAACAATAAGTAATGCACTGAACCACCATGGCCTGTATGCACGCTCACCACGCAAGACTCCACTGCTGAAGAAACAGCATGTTGAAYCTCCTTTAAAGTTTGCTGRACAACATTTAAACAAGCCTGTGTAATACTGGGAGAATATAGTCTGGTCAGATGAGACCAACATTGAACTGTTTGGATGCCAGAATACACATCATGTTTGGAGGTCAAATGGCACTGCACATCAGRCCAAAAACACCATACCAACAGTGAAGTTTGGAGGTGGGAACATCATGGTGTGGGGCTGTTTTTCAGCATATGGTACTGGCAAACTTCAAACAATTGAAGAAAGGATGAGTGGAAAAATGTACAGAGACATTCTTGATGAAAATCTGCTTCCATCTACCAGGATGATGAAGATGAAACGTGGCTGGACATTTCAGCAAGACAATGAGCCCAAACACAAAGCCAAGGAAACTCTCAGTTGGTTTCAGAAAAAGAAACTAAAGCTGCTGGAATGGCCCAGCCAATCACCTGACCTGAATCCAACAGAAAATCTATGGAAAGAACTAAAGATCAGAGTTCATAGAAGAGGTCCACAAAACCTTCAAGATTTGAAGACTCTTTGTGTGGAAGAATGGGCCAAAATCACACCTGAGCAATGCATGCCACTAGTTTCTCCATACAGGAGGCGTCTTGAAGCTGTCATTGACAACAAAGGCTTTTGTACAAAGTATTAGATAAATTTCAGTAAGTGTGTTCAATACTTTTTCCCTGTGCCATTCCACATTATTACAAATAACTTCATTTCTGGACATTTATGGTTTGATTTCTTTGTATGTATGAATCACTTGGGTTGTTACCAACATCTGGTGAAAATTTCATGTCATTAGCACCTCTAGTAATATATTTACTGAGAAAAATGGTGATGTGTTCAATACTTATTTTACCCGCTATATAAGGAAGTAATTTAATGGAATAAAACAAAGGGATAAAGTTGTAAAAGTTTTTAACTTGACGTGTTATTTTAGATCATTTTCAGTAACTAAAAAGAAAAGTAAGCTATTTTATTATTATAATTCTTAGTTGTTCGCTCTCATTCTTAGCAATTATTTGAGCCAGAGTCTCGTAGCATCAGCACATCCAATTTACTGCAATCTCACTGTAAACAGAAGCAAAGATACACTCAGAGGGGATTTTATTCTGGAAGACAGTGGTACCTGAGAAGTGTGTGACTGTTTGTGTAGGAGCAATTTGTCTTTTAGCGCTACAGTCCACAGAGATCTAGAGACTGAGGGAAAGCCAAATGGAGAAAACAGGAAGTCAATAACTGTAGCCTGTGTGTAAGGCAACACTACAATGAACAGTACCCACTGATTCACATTTCACCCAAAGCAAATAATTACACGCTGCCCTCAAAAACAATGCAGCAGAATTTAAACGTTCATAATAAAAAACATAGAATTGTGATTTGTGCAAAAACTGAAAGCAAATATTTCATATACAGTATTTTGTTAACAAGGAATTTTTGCACATGTAAATGTAAAAAAATGTATATTTAGTTAATATTAAGTGTATGTACTTTTCATGAATACATGTCCTCTATAAAAGCAAAGCCATTAAAATCACTTTCACACATTCTGCAATGATTAAAAGGTAAATGACTAATGAGAACAGCATTTACCTATTCGAGAGAGAAACCAATGGAAATTAGAATGCTATTAGTTGTTAATTAGCTTGAGGCACGGCATAAGTGTGGCATATGAGAAAATTATTAGTTTTCAACAGATATAGAATCATAAAGATGAGCATTTTGCTCTAAAACTTTAAAATCTAATCTAATGATGCAAGAAGTCAGCATACCTCACTGTCTGTCTGATGTCATTTGATACATGTTAAAATACAACATTTCAATTGTGTTAATGCTAAATGGTTATTACCATAAGTAAGTTTAATCCTTTAGAAAGTAAGAATATCTATTCAAATACTTCCCTCTCTATTGTACGTTCTGAATAATCTTTGTTGTAATCTTCTGGCTTCTTTTTAAATCCTGCTAACAGAAGCTAAACCATAACCAAACTGATTAACCTTAAATGTTAAGCTGGCTCTTTGTGTTGGAGGTGTTACAATGTCTGAGGCATCTTGTGCTTTTTTGTTTCTTCCTGATCCACATCATCCTACATAAACCTGTGCAAAGAGCCTCCAGGGACTGACGCTTTCTTCTGCTTGTGAGCACAAACGGTTTTGGTGAACTCAAACACTCTTTCTTCATAAACCTGTGTGTCTTCTTATCGAATATTTATCAAAATTGCCTTTAATCTTGGTTCGTTTAGATAGATTCACCTAACAGCAGGTGCACAGGGATTTCTTTTCTTTTTATCATTTTTTTATTGTGTTTTTGCATTTTTATGAAATGTAAAGAAAATCCTTCTGCAAACTGTATTTTGCAGTAAGTGTACTGTGGTACCATSTCAAATAAAACAAAGTTAGAAAAAACTTTTTTGAAACTCTTTTGAAAAGCCCGAAGACTGAAAAACGACCACAATTTACTAAAATAAAACTCATTTACTGTGTCAAGATCATCACCTTTACAGTGTAGTAAAAAATACAGTTTTAAGTTAAGCCCTTCTGACTTGTAATGACTATAAGTTAGTGTTCAAAAACTATCGTATACTATTTAGAAAAATAATCAAGTAAAAACATGCTTAATGTTTAGGGTCAGTGCAGCTTTGCATGACTAAAGCCTGAATAGCAGATCAAGGAGAATAAAAACACTGCACACTTTACAGAATTGTTTTATTATTATTATTATTATTATTATTATTATTATTATTATTATTATTATTATTATTATTATTATTATTATTTACAAGAACAAAGACTGTGAATTGGATGGTCCTTTCACTGTCAGCGGTGTTACCTGTTGCTTAGTTTCTCTTCTAAAGCTTCATTTTCAATATTGGAAAAGCTATAAAGTGCAGAGCTGGCAGTGCTGCCCATGGTGCTGTGTCTATGTGCTGTCTGTCTGGTGGTGAAGGTCACTTTGAGCGTTGGCTGATTCTCAGACCCAGTAAGATCACTGTGACTGGTGCCCAGAATAAGGCTGTGACTGGTGCCTTAAGAGAAAGTGCTGTCTGGCTTCCTGAAGACCAGATGAGCTGTGCATTATCAGTTTACAGTGAGATCTGCACGTGAATGGATGGATACACCCATGTATGAAGGAAACAGAACCACTGCAGACCAGGCCAACCAGCTGATCGCGATCAACCGTTCGATCTTTAGCTGGTTAGCAGTCGATCACAGAGCAATCGATCATGAAGCTTGTAGAACGCAACATTGTTTAACATTGCAGCCTTGAACGCACTCTTRGCAACGTATTTTTAACATTGTAGTCTTCAACGCACTCTTTGCAATGTTTGTTTAGCATTGCATTCTTGAACGCGCTCCCCCTCGTCCTCCCCATCTTGTAGGCATCTAGTCTCGCGAGTTTTGCGTGCTGTCAAACAGCACTCCGAACATGATCTTGAGGCGGGAAAAAATGAATGAAACACAGCTAACAAGCAAATAAAAACGTACTATTTTCACCTGGAGTGGGAAGAGGATTCATGTAATTAGAGCGCTGCCTTGGCTTGTCCAAAAAGGGTAACGTGGAACAGCATCTCTTTCAAAACAATGCACAGACGCTACAAGGCGGATTTCCCCTCCTAAAACGAGCTCAGAGGAGCTGGAAAACAAGCTTTGCAGCACAGCATCGATTTTCACTCGCTCCAACACCAAAGRGAAGGTAAGGCTGCTAATGCAGCCCCGTCCTGGCTCAACACAAAAAYCATCTTTCAGTGATGACGAAGTTATGAAAAAAACGTTTGATGCTGCAGACGTGCTTTTCTGTGATTTTAAAAATGAAAGTGAGATTGTGGCTGTTATAAAGACGTGCAGTTGTCCACTAGGATGGATGACGTGCCCAAATTTGTGTCCGTGTTTCAGCTGGAATGCTCTGATTTAAAGCCTTGATACAAAATGACAGGGGACATTTTCATAATGGCTAATTAGGAGAAACTATTCTTGGCTATTATTGTGAAACGAAACAGTGGGGCTATAGCCAATAAGCAAACCTTGCAGTTACTTTGCACTCTAAAAAATCCCTCACACTGTTTAAGCTTCTGGCATAAAAATAGAGAAGTGAATATACAGAAAGCAGACTTAAGAAGGCTGTATAATAAGAGGAAAGTAATAGTTTGTTTAGAAAATAAATGAAAGGTTCAATTGAAGAGAATGCAAAAAACCTGTGTATTGTTCAGATAATATTTTAAAGTTAAGCCTGTGCGAGATGAAAGTATAAGATATGTATGTGGGGCAATGCAGCAAGCAGCAGGTTAGTTGTAACTGGCAAGGAGCCTGTGGCACTTTGCCAGAGGGCCACTGGTTAATACTGATGCTGTAGGTGTTCTCTCAGCCACAATGAATGATTTACTGTTTATTTTACAAAGATATGCTCAAACACTGTAGACAGATAAGTTGGGAACTCTAAAAACACTCTTAATCCGTGCAATAATGTCTTGTTTCAAATTAGTGTTTGACCTTAATTAGTATCATATGTGCCTTCAAGCTTTTCGTCAGCCTTTCAGTCTGCTTGAAGGGAAACATCTAACTGGGTAGCTTGGTATTATTCTGCGCACCACACTGAACATGGAGTGGAGAAAACAAAAACTAGAGATGTCTGATG